GGTGCGTTCGTACATTGAAGCTGGTTAATACGTACTCTACCACTAGGGGGAGAATTTTTTTAACCTAAGATGACCTTAAAAAAAGAGCAGGAAAGATTTTTTTCCTGTTCTTATCTTGGATTTCTGTTCTCAAGTAGAAACAAAATTTAGCAAATGGAGCTGTTCTTAAGTTGGATTGTTCTTAAGTAGAGACGTTCTTAAGTAGAGACCTCACTGTATTACACAGTTGTAGAGTAGGACCTGCAACATCGTTATGTAACATTGCCTAGACAGACATGCCTTCTTGCAGGATACCTCATTACAACATCCCCATCCTCCTGCAAAAACAAAACAAACAAATCAAAAAAACACCCTTGAAGTGCTGTTGCCACATCTTTTTCTCCTCTTCCCCCCCCCCACTGCCTGGTGGGCTCTAGGACAGAACGACAGTGCTCTAAGCAGATGCTCCACGGCGAGCTCTTGCCAATAGGCCAAGGGCCACATGAGATCCTGCCAATGACTGTTCTGAAGGCAGAGATGTTGGCAAATTTTTAGGTTCGAGTCTTTGGTACCGAGTCGGAGTCTGGGTCTTTGGTACTGAGTCCCAAGCCCCAAGTTTAAAACAAGCTTTTTCCCCAGGAAAAAAAGGGAGGGGGTGGTTCAGTGGCTTCCAAGTTGTAAGTCGAGCCCAAGTCATGGGGGAAAAACCTGAGTTAAGTTGCCGGTGTAACATAAGGCCAACAGCGAGTCCCATGCCTGGAGTCCCCATCCCTGTCTGAAGGATATTCCCACCTCCCAAGCAGGTATTAGGCATCTGCAGGAGGATGGGAATCAGTGAGATTTAGCTTCACTCTGGTAAAATCTGTAAATAGCCCAATTTTTATATGCAACCAGGATGTATTTATTAAAACAGGCAACAAAAATGATTGACCAAATCAAATCTGTTTTCCTATTTTGTGATTCATATATTTCTTGAACAAGAGGTCGTATACTAATTGCTTGCTGAAGCATGAGTAACACATTGGTTGACAAGTCATGGCGCTTTTGGATAGCCAAGGGCAGGGTGCATGAGCCTAAATTTCTTCCTTTGAAGTCCTCAGTGTCCATGCTTCAGGAATGACACATTTGTCATAATAATGTTTGCCCTGGGAGGTGAAGTTTGTCTTCACTCTATTTCTTCTGCATAAAAAGTAGAACAACTCAGTGTATTTGATAAGCCCATGGACTGACTTATTGCAGTTTTCACAAAGGGGTTTGTCTTAAAAACAGGTCAGTTTTAGAAAAGCCACTAATACATATATGCATGTCTGTTGATAACACTTATTCTCACATGTATGAGTATAGGATTGCAGTCTTAATATACCTGAGTATAAAAACAAAAACCTGAAAGTCATTTTCCCCCTAATTTATTGGATCTTGTTCAATCTTCAGAAAGCCCAAAATGTAGTTCAGTCAAGACTTAATCCCTGTAGGTGCTGTTGCTAGGTCTCAGTGTGTCTGCTGAAGCCTCAAGGATTGCTGTGCTTCCTTGAGTTTCTTTGTAGAGAGACAAATCTCGGGGTAAGTAGCTTCTGAAAATGGAGAAAGACAGATTTTGTTGTGCACAGTATATGGTGGCTTTAAAGCCTGGACACCCATCTTCTTCCTGCTTGAAATGTGGCAAAACTCACTGCCTTAGCATATAGGTCTTTGTGTGTTGCAAACCTAATACAACTTTAGGAGGTGATGCAGGAAATCTGTGGTTCATCTGTGGTTCAAGAGGGACAAAAACGGAGATATGACGCCAAGGTCAAAACAAGACACTTCGAACCTGGGCAGAAGGTTTTGCTATTGATGCCAGCAGCGTCATCGAAACTATTTGCCACATGGCAGGGCCCCTATAAGGTGTTGAGAAGAGTAGGAGAAGTAGATTATGAGATTTGGATGCCGGACAAAGTTAAGAAGAAAGGCATTTTTCATGTAAATTTATTGAAAGAGTGGAAGGAAAGAGAGGCATTATGGGGAGAAGTAAAAGATGAAGAATTTGGGCCAGAAACGAAAGACTTTTTACACCAAGGGATAAGAATAGACTTAGGGGATGAGTTGACACCAGAACAAGAGGGACAGATGAGGGAGATAGGACGCAAATATAAGGAGGTCTTCTCAGGGAAACCTGGTAATACTAAGTTGGTCGAACACACGATTAACACTCAACCTCAAGTCATTGTTAGATCTGGTAGTAGAAGTTGGCCTAGGCACCTGAGAGAAACCATTAATGAAGAAATAGAGGAGATGCTTCAACTAGGAGTAATTGAACCATCCTATAGTCCATGGAGAAGTTATCCAGTGGTGGTCCCGAAACCGGACGGGAGTGTTAGGTTATGCATTGATTATCGTAGATTAAATGAGGTGTCCAAGTTCGATGCCTATCCAATGCCAAGAATTGATGACTTGCTAGAAAGATTAGGCGGGGCTGAGTATCTAACGTCGTTAGATTTGACCAAAGGGTATTGGCAAATACCATTGAGGCCAGAGGATAAAGAAAAAAACAGCTTTTGTGACCCCTAAGGGTCTTTTCCAATTCTCTCGCATGCCCTTCGGCTTGCATGGGGCAGCCGCGACATTTCAACGCCTGATGGATAAGGTGTTAGCCCCTGTTAAGGATTTTGCTGGAGCTTACATCGATGATATACTTATATATAGTAAAAGCTGGGATGAGCATTTGGTACATCTCGAGAAGGTGTTACAGGTGCTACAAGAGGCTCGACTTAAGGTCAACCCCGCTAAATGCAAGGTAGCTCGCCGAGGACTAAAATTCTTAGGATTTCAAGTGAAGCAAGGTAAAATACAGCCTGTATCAGACAAGGTGGAGCAGGTAACAGCCTGGCCCATACCTAAGACAAAAAAGGAGGTACAAAGATTTCTGGGGCTAGCAGGTTACTATAGACAGTTTGTCCCTAATTTTGCGCATATTGCCGCTCCTTTGAGCGATCTGACAAGAAAGAAGAAGGCAAGAGTGATTCATTGGGGAGAAGAGGAGGCGAAAGCTTTTGAAGAATTAAAACAGATCCTATCGGAGTTGCCAAGTAGATATACCCCAGATTTTTCTAGACCTTTTATAGTTCAAACAGATGCCTCAGATTGTGGAGTAGGGGCAGTGTTATCTCAAGAGAAGGACAATGTAGAATTTCCAGTGATGTATTTGAGCAAGAAATTAACCCCCAGGGAGCAGAAATATTCTACTATAGAAAAAGAGGCTTATGCAGTTAAGTGGGCGATACAGGCCTTAAGATATTACCTGCTAGGGGCACCATTTACGCTCATTACGGATCATGCTCCGCTGCAGTGGCTAAATAGGATGAAGGATGTGAATCCCAGGTTGACTAGGTGGTATTTAAGTTTACAGCCATTCACTTTTGAAGTGAAGTATCGCAAGGGAAGTGCCCATGCTAACGCAGATTACTTTTCCCGACAGGGAGAGATGCTACCTCAGGCCGAAGAGAGGACGGCCCACTCCTCAGGGGGGGGGCGTGTGCGAAGCAAGGAAAGTGAGCCATCCTCACAGACATCTAAAGAAGAAGAAAGTGAGGGATGCGCTGTGGGCGAATTGATCAAACTGGACGATGAAGAAGGGGGCACTAATAGAGCTATAGAGGTGTTTCTAGCGGAGAGGACAAGAGACTGGGGGGAGGAGTCAGGAGACTGGAGATGGGACGAGGTTATAAAGGAGGAGAAGAGGGAGAAAGGGACAGAGGGGGGAAAGGAAGAGAAGAGTACACAAACAAGGGAGACGGGAGCAGAGAGAGAGAAGATTGCAACACTAGTAAAGAATTTCCCGAATTTAATGAAGGAAGATGGCCTGTTGCCTCTACCGAAAGAAATAAGCAAAGTTGAAGCTTGTGAGTTCCCAAGGGGATGGAGACCGGGAGTGGGTTCGGCTTCTCGCCCAATGAGGGACAGAGAAACCCTTGGTGGAGCCAGCCCTTTCCTACCCAGGCTGGAGGGGTCTGTAGTGGTCCATCCTCATTGCAGGACTTCCTGCTCAGTTCTGACTGCGTCGGCCGCGAGCCCGAACGCAATCGCTCATTTTGGGGGGAAGAAATAGTGAGAACCAAAGATGTAATGCCTGGTGTAAAACCCAAGAAATATAACTTGTTAACGAATGAAGAGTTGCCAGACCCGTTTGGTCCAGAGTTACTTGACGAAAAAGCTAATAAAACGAACCCGTTTTTGACCGTTACATCGACTT